TATCGTCATCACCATCATCATCACCGTCATCGTCGTCGTCATCGTCATCATCGCCATCCTCATCGGCAGCCATATTTGCATCACCATCCCCATCACCACCACCACCACCACCACCACCACCATCAGCATCATCATCACCATAACCATAACTATAGCCATAGCCGTCATCATCATCATCATCATCATCATCAGCAGCAGCAGCAGCATCAGCATCAGCATCATCATCATCGTCGTCGTCATCATCATCTTCATCAGCACCATCATCATCATCATCATCATCATCATCATCATCATCATCATCATCATCACCCAGAACAGCAGCAGCATCGCCACCACCACCACCGTCATCATCATCATCATCATCAGCAGCAGCAGCAGCATCATCGCCATCACAATCATCATCCGCATCATCATCATGGTCACCGTCACCATCATCAGCATCACTTTCATCATCAATATCATCATCATCATCATCATCATCGTCGTCGTCGGCATCTTTATCACCGTCATCAGCACCAGCATCATCACCGTCGCAGTCAACATCAAAAGCATACTCATCATCATCATCATCAGCATCCTCACCATCATTCCTGCAGCATCAGTACCACCGCAAGCATCAGCATCACCACCATCATCATCATCATCGTCGTCATCATCACCATCATCATCATCTCTATTTGCACAACCACCCCCACCACTACCACCACCACCATCACCACCATCACCATCATCATCATCATCATCATCATCATCATCATCATCATCATCATCATCATCATCATCATCATCGTCATCGTCATCATGGCCATCACCATCATCACCCACATCAGCAGCAGCACCATCTTCACCACCATCACCATCCTCATCCTCATCATCATCGCCATCGCCATCACACTCGTCATCATCATACACGCCATCACCATCAGCAGCATCATCAGCACCATCATTACCACCATCATCATCATGATCCTCATCATAATCGGCATCATCAGTAGTATCATCATTAGCATACTCATCATCATCATCATCATCATCATCATCATCATCATCATCATCATCATCCTCATCCTCATCCTCATCCTCCTCCTCCTCCTCCTCATCATCATCATCATCAGCATCATCAACGATATCGCCATCGTCATCAACATCATCATCTCCGTCACCATCAATCCCCCCCTCCCTCCGCTGCCGCCGTCGTCGCCGCCGCCGCCTCCTCCGCCACCACCTCCTCCTCCTCCTCCTCCTCCGCCTCTCCATTCATCCTCCATCCTCCATCATTCATTCGCTATCGTCCATCCTCCATCCTTCATCCTCCATCCTCCGTCCATGCATCCTCCCTCGCCTCCTCCTCTTCTTCCTCCTCCATCCTCCCCGTCCTCCCTCCTCCTTCTCCTCCTCCTCCTCCTCCACCTCCTCCTTCCTCCTCCTCCCCTTCCTCCTCCTCTCCTCCTCCTCCTCCTCCTCCTCCTCCTCCTCCCCACATCCTCCCCCCCCTCCATCGTCCTCCTTTGCACCTCCTCCTCCCCCTTCCATCCTCCTCCTCCTCCTCCAATACCTCCCCCCCTCCTCCTCCCCCTCGTCCTCCTCCGCCTCCACCGCCCCTCCTCCTCCTCCTCCTCCTCCTCCTCCTCCTCCTCCTCCTCCTCCTCCTCCACCTCCTCCCCCCATCGTCCATCTCACTCCTCCTCCTCCTCCTCTCCTCTTCCTCCTCCTCCTCCTCCTCCGCATCCGCATCCTTCTCCTGCTCCTCCTCCCTCCCCCGAAAGGCGCGTCGCGGTCCCGCAGCGCCAGATGCCCCCGCGCGGCGCTGCGGCCCCCGTCCAGGCCGCGGCGGGGCGGCTCGCGAGAGGCCTCCGGGCGCCGCCGCAGCGGCCGCCGCGGCGCCTCGCGCGAGCCGCCCTCGCCGCCGCGCCGGCCAGGCTGCCGCGCCGCCCGCCCTGGCCATGGCGGCGATCGGATGGCACCAAACTAGGATGGCCCAAGCCGCCTCCAAGATGGCCCCCAAGACGGCCCCAGAGAGGCTCCAAGAGGGCCCTCAGACGGCCCAAGAGGGCCCCAAGACGGCCCAGAGAGACTCCCAAGAAGGCTCAAAAGGCCCAACCCTGGACCTCCAGCGCCTCGAGAAGCTCGAGGCGGCGCCTATTTTCAGTTTTCGGCCTCATTGAAGGCCCTCGCTGGGCCCTGGGACTCGGGATGAGGAGCCGGCCCTGGGGAAAATGTCTTGACCTCGAGGAACCCCGTATTGAGAAAGTCGAGACATCATATGTGTGGTGGGACTATGTCATGCTATGCCTACACATACACCGATCCTGGCGTAGCGCAATCTTTTTACACCAGCTGTTTTCGCCTGGTGTCAGGCCTCGAGGCCATCACAGATCGATCGGACTCGAGAAATGCCGCATAACGATAGGGGTCCAGGGATTCAGTCGTGATTTTTCGCGATGTTGCATTTTTTCCGCCACGTCGGATCTCAGGGTATGCACCTCGTCTGCACCGATCCTGTCCAGCCCTATCCAGGGCCAAAATATTGATGTAACTGCCGTCCAGTCTAGGCCAGGAGGGCATACAAACCGATCCTGGGCCCAGGATGAGCCTGACCAGGATCGATACATGCGACTAGTTTCGGCGGCGCGCTAAGGGGGAAGTCAGACGGGGCGGGACTTCGCAGAATGCTCGGCCTCCAGCCTTCTGAGAAGTTTTCTAAGCTGCTCTGCGAAGACGTAGACGGCTTCTCAGAATCCGGAGGGCCTCCGAGAAGCCCCGCCGCCTTTGAGAAGGTCTGCCCCCTCTCACTTCCCCTGAGACCCGACGCTGCACAGAAGCATGCAACCTCGCACAAGATCACGATTGGAGCCCTGGACCCTGTCGTTCTGCGGCACCTCTCGGGCCGGATCGAGCTGTGAGGCTCCTCTGGTCCGAAGCCGGGTGAAAACGCCCGTTGCGAAAAGACTGCAACGCCAGGATCTCAGGGCCCCCCGGGCGCGCCG